AAAAAAAAAAAAGGTTTTGTTTGTTTAATTTAGTAGATTAGAAGTGATTCAATTGTGTGTTATCGTTAGTCAATCATTCAATCTAATAGATTATTGCAGTTGACAAATGTATAACAAAAGAAATTTTTGGTATTATTTCTGCAGTTTTTTTTAGAATTTCTGTTTTCTTACAATGTACTTAATGTCAAATTTTTTAAGCACAAAAAGTTGATTAGATAGAACCAAGTAAGATTTTGAATACAACAGTAGAAAAAAAAAAAGTAGAAGAAAGGAAAAGAAGCACTGTAATCTAATACCTGCAAGTCCTTTTCAATTTAGCTTCAGAGTCAACTTTAAACACAACAGCCAATATATTCCTTTCAAATGGTACTCGATGTGCTCGTAATCGTAGAACACATCCCAAAAATACTCGTTCTGGGCATCCGGCAGCATGAACATTAGTAAAAAAATAAACTGCAAAAAAAAAAAAAAAAAAAAAACAAAACCAAAGTGAAGAAGAAATAAACTATATTGTTGAATTTATAAAAATTTTTATACTTTTACTTCTACACTTTTCTTTGTGAATATTTTACTGCTAACAAAAATCAAATAAATTTGTTTTGTTTAATAGTGATAACTGTTTATTTGTGCCTTAACAGCTCTTTTTTCCTGCTTTTTTGTGACAATTTTACCAAAGATTTTACTCGTTTTTTTAAAGACTATCTAAAACTTTCTGCAGTGTTCTATTTTTCGGATGTTACTCTATAAGTACAAAAAAGAAAAAGATGGCGCTGTTTAGACGACATTAAGACAGTTGTTTGAAAATAAAAAAGTATGTTTTGAAAATTATATGAAATAACAAAACGAAGAAAACTTAAAAGTAATCATTTAAAAAATAAGAAAAATTTGTTTTTTTGTAAATTCTTACAACCGGTTAGCATCAAAGTTCCCACAATGAACATTTGGCTTTTTTGCAACTGTGTCAATCCTGAAAATTGTGAAGTTAAGAGAGAAAAAAGCAGAAGTTTATAACAGTTACCGTTTAATTCGCTGTACAATCGAACGATAGCAAAAAAGAAAAAAGAACGACAGGAAATAAACCAAAAATAACTGTCATTAATCTATTGACAGTGAAATAATTTGTTCAAAATAAAGCTTCTTTTTCTTGTTACTGAATAGAAATAATATAGCAATCAAAAAGTTTAGAAAAAAGAAAGCAGACTTAGGCTTTTAAGACTGTTAAAGATTATTACCTATCATTTTAAAATGAAAAAGACTGAAAATATGAATTAATGTATCAGTTTAACGTACACGATAAAAGACCTTATCTTAATCAGCGATATTTTATTGCAAGTTTACCAAATTTGCAACAACTGTACAGTTAACAATGCTGAAATTCAGAGCAAAATTGTTGATTAGATGACACGTTGCTGAATAGGATACAAGTGTTTAGCTGAGAAAATTCAAATTTTTTTGGATACTGCGTAAATGTAAGGTAAATCTAATTGATTCTTTAAATCGCTTGAATATTTGAAGTTAATGCATGCGGTATCAAAGTTGATAATACATAACAACACCATTGCATAAATGCAACAAAAATTTCTAAACAGAGACATGCTAAAGATTTAAAAGTTTTATGTATATTTAAGTTGTTCACACAGAAAAACACACACAGACATATAATAGTAAGTTGCAGAAAAGTAAATGAAAAAAGAAGCGGTTGTCAACAAATATGGGATATAATCGTGAAAACTGTATTTGATAGGTTGTGGTTAGCTGTCAAAAGTCTGGGAGCCATCGTCGTCGTTCCGACTGCAAAGCCGGTGATGGTCAGAGGCTAAAACAAAAAGCTTAAGCAGCAGATGTCCACCCGATAAAGCAAATAAAAATTGTATTAGACCGAAGGCGGTCATTGTCATAGATATTTGTTGCGGGAGGACTTCTTTTCGAGTAGCTTTAAACCTTTTCTTTTTTCCTCTACCATCTAAATGTCACACCTTTGCACTTAACCGGCTAAATGTTTAAGATCACTTATAAGTGTGATACATTTATAATTTCAGCTTCTTTTTCATCCAAATTCTGTTTTTGATTCATTTAAATTTTTTTTTTTGAATTTTTGTATTAACTTAGCTTTTCTGTTTTTTCGTTTTTTTTTCTTTTTGCTTTTTTAAAATATTGTAGACTAAGCAAAATTTTTTAATAATAACATAAAGTTTTTTTTGTAGGGTATTAAGAAGCAAGAAAAATAAAAATAAAGCGAAAAAAAAGAAAACAGAAAGAATCAGTATCAACAGTACTTTACAAAGCCTAATGCTTATCTGTTTGATCGTTTAGTTTAATTCTTTAAAAAAAAACAGAAAAAATCATTACTTGAATATTTTTTGCAGACACCATATAAAAAATTCTGTTTTTCAATGATTTCTCTCTACAGCTACCTCGATCTGTTCAATTCCTCTCTTGCAAAATAGTTTTAACAAAAAAGAGTTTTTTAGCTTACTTTACAAGTTTAAACTATTATAGTGTAGCAGTCATTCTTCTTCACCTGCCACTTTTTATTTTCGCGGCATATCAGTGCTAAAGAGTCGAGTAGTTTTTTGGTTTGGCAACTTTACCTGTTTAATTTATCTTCTTAATAATTATTTTTTTTAGTGTTCTTATTCTTCTTCTGCTAACAGAAAAAAAAGGTTTTTTCAACTAAAGCAGTTATCATGAAAACCATTGATAGCAACTGTTTGTACGTACACTCAGTATATTTAAACTGGTAAAGTCGATAAACAGTCTACAAAACCAAGATAACCGACAGTTATCAAAAATTACATTTTCATCATTCTTCATTTCTCAACTCACAGCCGAAAGAACACATTAACCCTATAACTCGCTTTAGGCAGCAACGCGTATTCAATCAATTCTCAAACCGCCGATGAACATGGAAAATACGCTGATCAGGCGACTAATTTGATGTGTATTATTTGTCAGTATGAGAGAGAAAATACATATCTATCTTTTTTGGCTGAAGAACATTAGCGAAAATAGTCTACTGCATGTTCAAAAACAATATGCTTAAAGACCTAAATTAAGACAATTTAAGATCAGTAAGAAAGAGCAGAAAAAGAAGACATCAAGACATTCAAGGAAACAGTTGCAGGAGATATTGGCACACCAAATGGATGAATAATCCAGTCGTTAAGTGTTGCTATGTCGGTAATAAATCAAAAAAAAGTCACTTAATTATCAAGTAAAATTTCCGGGTTTTTTAAAATCGATCATTGATTTATTTAAGCAAAATACATTAAGAGGTATTTTTTTCACAGATTTTGTACCGTTCTTAATCATATATACGTAAAATTGATAAAGTGAAAAAAAAAATGTGTTTGTAAATATTACATTATGCTTTAGTAAGTTTTTTCTCAAAGAAAGCAGAATTGATGTACCGACAGTGATAACGACAATGGAGATGATGGTGACCACTGAGAACCCACTCGATTTGATGTATTCGGTAAACCACTACTGTTTATACCAAACCAAACACTATGCCGACATCGTCGTTTCCTTCTACCGTTGTTGCAGCTTCTCCTTCAGATGCTTTAATAGCTAACGATTTTTTTGCTTAAAATGGGTTAAAAAAGTGGAACAAAGCCAGGGTATTACTGATCCGTATGTTGGTTTTCCTCTGTGGCATCCTTCTGTAAGCTGTATATCCGTGCAGGTATCGGATGCACGAACAAAGCCACTGGTTACTTTAGTGTTTCAAATTCTATTACACCACTTAGTAAACGAGCAGTTTCGTGAGATTTAACTGAACTGATTGTACATTTTGTATAACAGTAACAAAAATGTTCTGTTTGTACCCGAGGTTTTTTTTTTTGCTTCCTCGTTGCAGAAGAAAGGAGAGAAGGATTAAATATTCATGTAATAAATACCTTTCCTTTTTTGTGGTCTTTATTTTTTTTCCCTTTTACCTGAACTTTTTTCTTTCGCAATGATGATATGTAGACGGTTTGTATAGTGGAAACATCTACTGTGATCTATAACAATAAAGAAGAGCTCGTCAGTTCTACGCTTCAACAGCATCGACATTTAAATAAATTTAAGACTTTAAGCTAATAAAAATTTTACTTATAAAAGTTACATATATCTATGCAGAAAAAAAAAGTTTTTTTTTTTGCTTAGGCTTATATAACATTGAATTTAAAAACATTTATTAGCAGTTCAATGTTTCTGTAAGCCTTGACAAAGTGAACAATTTTTTATTCAGGAATTTTCTAGAGCAGCGGGCGAGTGGTGTGATAATAAACAAAAATTCCACTAACTTTTAAATAAACCAAATAATTTAGCAAAAAGATAAGAGAATAAAAAAAATTTAAAAAAAAAAAACAATTTTTTAATTTAAATACGGTTTATAAAACAAAAGAAAAAAAAAATGAATTATACACATCTGTTCTGTCGTTGTTACTCTTTTTTAAGTAAATCAATCAATGCATTTGTTGTGTCAGTTTTCGGTTTTCACCAATAACGATGACAATGACTTTTTTCTTTTTTTTTTTTTTTTTTCTGAACATTATTGACAACAGTTTCATTTGCTAATTTATACGCTTTATTTAAAAATGACAGTAAACGAAAAAAAGAAAAAAAAAAGAAGGAAAGAGAAAGAAAAGGTTTAAAAGTAAAATAAAACAAAAGAAAAATGAAAGGAAAAGTGAATGATTGAACTTAAAAATGAGAAAAGTACAAAGAAAAAAAAATTATTTATTCACTTATTTCTTTTTTTTTTTTTGTTTATAAAAAATTCTTTTCTGCTAAAATTTACTATCAAAACAAAGAAAAAAAAACTGCTTTTGTTTTTGCAGCAACAGTTCTCACAAAAAACAAAAAAAACTGTTTTTTTGTTTTTCTACTTTTTATTCTGTGTTCTCAGATAGTTTATCAACTTTTTCAACAAACTTAAAGAACAGGTAGACAGATTTGAAATGAAGCGAATAGAGTAGAGAAATTTGAGAAAAGGAAAAGTGCACTTACTCCTGGTAATAGTATATGCAGAATTATAATCTTATGTTAAATAATTTAAAAAAAACTGTATAGAAGTAGCAAAAACTGTATAGAAGTAGCAAAAATAGCAAAAGGGACAGATGTGTAATTAACATTTGTTACGATCTGAAACAGAAATTATGCGCAAATGGCAACAGTTAACTGCTAAACAGATTCAGCGTGAAGTTTGCCAAGTAAAAAGGATCAAAATTTTAACAAACTGTTAACAATATTTTTTTTTGTTTTGCTTTATTTTAGTTGAAAAAATAGTTGGAACAAATGGAAAAAATTTGTCACTGCATTAGTCATCTGATTTACAAAAGACTCTGACAACATTTATTCATCACCGTGTTAAAATATTTGATTTCTGAGCTGTTCATCAATCCAACTTTATCCAACAATTTGTCAGAAGGTCTATTGATAGATGTTGTTTCTCCGGATATTCAACTAAATTAACTGAAACTATATAGATGCGATTAAACACAAAAAAAAAAAATAT